AATGCCTATCGAAGCGGGAGGACAGAGGCATCAGTCGTACGAGAGCACATCGCGATATTTCCTTAGTGACCCATGTCGAAGACTCGAAGGTGTATTCTCCTTCGGACCTTTCCTAGTTCCCTTGGGGGCCATTCGAAATGCAGAGCCAACATCATGTAATGCTATGGCCTGTAAAGGGTCAAGAGCAAAAGGACGAATTTGGACAAGAATGATCATTGAAGAGAACGAGAAAGGGCTAACGCAAGAAACGAGCGAGTGTGCAAAACCGAGACCTCGTGCAAAGGGAGGCTTGCGAAAGCACCACAAGATGAGGGGAATTCCGCGCGCGCCTCGATTTGAACCCCCTGAGCCCAGAATTCACGTCGGTGCCCTGTGCGACGATCGGATAGTCGTTGCAGGCTCTGGTGGCACAAGGACCTGCGCTTGGCATACATCGTAGCTTGGCCGGTTTGGGTCCTTGGTTTAGCTGGGCTTTGACCATGGTTTAGCATTCACCCGCACAGCAAATGCAATGCCGAGTGTTTGTAGCAGCTTGCATTGTTGCTGCTACGCTTCGTTCCCCCAAGCCCTCAAAGAAAGGACACACCCTGAGTCAGGAGGCCCATAAGCCACACGGGATGACGGAACATTTCAGAATGTGGTGGGTTCTTAACTGTGGGAAGGGAACTCACCACAACCACAAAACCCTGGTGCATTGCAAAACATGGCAGGGTTTTGATTGTTCCCTACTCGCAACATTTAGGGAATTCGCCGTATGGCTTCGGGCAGGCAAGCATCGGTTCAGACGGGTATCGCTTTCTGCCAGCGGATTTTTTGAGATGTCCATGGAATGTTGGGCCAACGCCACGGACTCTCAATTTGAATTGGAGCCCCCTGACTTGGAGGATTCGTGACTTCATCAAAAAGACTTCTGCATGCGCAATCTTCGGCTCCATCGAAGGTTGTTTGACTCGTTTTGAAGGACTGCGTGAAGCCGGCAAGGGTCCAACCCAACAGAAAGCATATTGGATACCCGTTCGTTTTGAGCAACAGCAGGCACAGCACGCGCTGGTGCACCTTGGGCGGCTCAGACGCAAGCTGGTCAGTGGCGGGTTGAAGACTTGCGCAAAGCAGAGATATGACACTGAAACATTTTTCAGGGCTTGTTTACCCAGTATGCACTTCAAACTTCAAATAATGAGGAGGTAATGTTGGGGTATGGTTCAGGGGTCTGGTGGTGAACAGGGAAGCATGGGCCGCACCCCTTAAAGTCCAAAAGACATGGAACGCTTGGATGACCACAATTTTGCGCGGGCGGGGAACTCAATGTAGTCTGGAGCCCTTAGGGTTGGATGAGAATCCAGGTCCCCAAAGGTGCATGAGAATCCCGGATGAATTAACATGCTTCACAACGTTTCGGGAGCCAAGCATCCAGCCTCTGGAACAGAGCGTATCGGAGGTTTGTCCGTTTGGGATTCCCAGAACAAGTATTTTGAAGGCAGCTGGCTCTGGAAATACATCTTCTGAGCCATGATGGAGCTTTCAGATAGTTTGGGGCGCAACTAGCAGCCACTCAATGGACAAGGGATTCGACAGCCCAGACTGGTTGTTATTGCAAATTGGGCGAGAGATGATCTTTTCTTTGCCCTTGGTTGCCATACGCTTTGACCGGCATCCTTTTCAGCATTTGGACATGTCTGCTTTCCACCAAGCACCGTTTGTTTACCTGCACGATGACCCTCTGCGTGTGTATGTGCATGTGTGTGTGTGTGTTGGTGTGTATACGTGTGTGTGTGTGTGTGTGTGTGTGTGTGTGTGTGTGTGTGTGTGTGTGTGTGTGTGTGTGTTGGTGTGCATACGTGCGTGCGTGCGTGCGTGCGTGCGTGCGTGCGTGCGTGCGTGCGTGCGTGCGTGCGTGCGTGCGTGCGTGCGTGCGTGCGTGCGTGCGTGCGTGCGTGCGTGCGTGCGTGCGTGCGTGCGTGCGTGCGTGCGTGCGTGCGTGTGCGTGCGTGCGTGCGTGCGTGCGTGCGTGCGTGCGTGCGTGCGTGCGTGCGTGCGTGCGTGCGTGCGTGCGTGCGTGCGTGCGTGCGTGCGTGCGTGCGTGCGTGCGTGCGTGCGTGCGTGCGTGCGTGCGTGCGTGCGTGCGTGCGTGCGTGCGTGCGTGCGTGTGTGTGTGTGTGTGTGTGTGTGTGTGTGTGTGCGTGGGGGGGGCATCAGCGACAAGATTTGCTGCCGCCATGCTTAAGCATGGCCCCCCCCATTAGCACATTAAATTCATAGTCAATATATTTTCACTGCGCTATCCTCATGCAAACCAGCTATCTATTTGCGGGAACTTCTACAGGAAATTTGTCCGACACCAACCAAAAACAGGAATGTTCAGTAGAGTTTCCTGCAGGGTCTTGAGATTATCCGCGTGAGGAACTACCTGGACAAGACACCTTTGGAGTACATGCAGATCCGATTCCGCCGCGGCTTCGACCAGGAGACGCCTATAGCAGCTGGGCTTACACCTTCGCGTTGTGACCATTCAAGTGATATGAGCAAGGTATCAGCAGGCAACATGGGTCTGTGTTTTTATGTGGTTGCCCTTTTCGGGGTTGGTTTCGAGGAGATTTAGGCGGTCTCCTATTTTGAGACACATCCATCTTCATATTCACCATCATCTATCGTAAAGTGAATGAGATCGGCCTCACTCACCAAATCAGGTTGCTCGCTAGTTTTCGATGTTGGTGGGGACCAAATTCCAATGTTGGTTGTTGGCTCACGACACATCATTCACGTTTTAAGGTTTGCAGCGTATCGTGGACGATACTCTGAACATGCCATGTTTGAGTTGGCAAAAGCTGAGGTCGAACTGGGGTCCGCTTGCACGTCCTTGAATGTCTATTCCGGGACCAGGTTTTGTGGGCATATCAATGGTCATCTACTCTTTGATAGAGGACGGTGCAGTGGACAAGGATGTCCAATGACGAACCCTTACCAAAACCAAAGACCGCTGACCACACAATTGCCTCTGAGTGTTTGCTCGGTCTGCATGGCCCGCATGTAAGGCAAAAGTTCGGAGCGCACCATTAGACCACCCATCGAGTGAGGCTAATGTTCTCCGAGGGCACTGCTTTGCCTAAACAACAAACTCAGAGATCAAGCTCAGCCATGCTCAGCAACTCGAAACTATTGAATGAGAAGTTGCCTAAGTTGAGCAGCTCTGGCGATGCATGCCTTGTGCATGACGTTGCTTGCTCTTTCACTCATTTCAGAAATGCACGCAGGCAGGTGCGTAGTGGGGTGTGTCACATGCCCGAATGGCAGGAACAACCGGTGGCTTTACTTTAGGACCTCACCATAAACGTGATACTTTTCGTGCGCACGCACTGGGGGGACCCCTTTTTCCGTTTTTCGGCGCACCGTTCGGCAACTTGCTAGGTTCGCAGTGAGAAGCTCCTCACCAAGAAGGACCCGTGCCAGTGATTGGGGTCAGCTCACCTTCAGCTTGAGGGGGGAAGCTGGCCACCTTAGGCAGTTTTGCGCGGCTCAGAAAGAATTGCGTTGAGCAGGTCTTAAAGTTTGTTGGTCGAATACGTTGACTTATTTTGATGTCCTTAACTGTCCAAAGTCCAACCTGCTGGTCGACTTTCCAGTTTCAAACCTTGATTCTTGGGTGGGTAACAAACAAAGTGTCAAACAGGTTGACTGTGAGTTGGGGGTCTAGTGTGCATTGGCCCGTTGATTGTCAAATGCATTGGATCTTTGGGAGTGAGTGATTCGAACACTCTGCAACTTTCACCTTGATTTGCTTTACGCGTCTAGGCAGACATCCGATGTGAAGGCGGCATCCTGGAGATAGGCGTACTACCTGAAAGATCCTTTGAGTCTAAAAATAGCCTCGCAAAAATTTAGACTACAAAGCTGCGCCGAGTCTAAATTTGTAGTCTAAATAGCGCGTCTAAACTGCGAGTCTAAATCACGCAAATGCATATAAACACCTTGTTGCACCACTTGTTTTTGCATAGAACAGCGCAGCAAGCGCGCCATTATTTGTGTTTCTCTCGTGTTTGTTTATATGCGCAGCGTGGCGGGAGGATGTGTGGCTGCGAAGCCCTGAAGTGTGAGAGCTTGAGAAAATTGTCAGAGATTTTGCGACGCACACCCATTGTATTAGGAGCCACGGCCCAAAGTTTAGAAAGCCCAGGCACTGTTTTTGTCACAGGCCGCAAAGCAAGCAGAAAACCATAGCGGAAAAACTAGTTCCACACAGCGCATGCGCTTGTACATGTCCAGAGGAGGAGGTTTTGCAGGTTTCGCACGCAGCATGAACAATATTTATTTTCTGGCGGCTCCATTTTGGCTCTTGCAAAAACAAGGAACCTCCGATGGGGGATGCATGAAAAAGGACATACACACATGCACATGTGATACAACCGAGGTGGGTATGATGTACAAAGCTGCATCGGCACTGCACAAGGAGCATTCCACTACGCCACTACGCAGCCTGCATTTGTTGCACACTGTGCAAGAGGTGTACTTGCATTTGACAACTTGGTACCTGGAGTGCGCCATGGAGAGCCGCTTGTACACAGCTGATTGGCCGGGGAATGTGACTTGTATAAGCATGCACCTTGAAACTGCGAACCCTTGCTGGCGAGGGCGCAGCAGTACAATGCGCCAAAGCCGGTGGCAGTGCGAATTCTGCCATGCAGGAGCGCGTACCAGCCGCAGACAAGTGCCTTCCTCTACTACGACAGCGATGCGGATATGACGGAGGCGTTGATGCAGAGCGGGCTCGGCCGCCAGCGGCAGCAACGGCAGCAACGGCGCCAGCACCAGCACCCCCCCCCTCCCCCACTACCATCCTTTCCCCCACAGCCACCGCAACTGCAGACACAACAACCACCACTGCCACCGCCACTGCAGTCACCACAGCCACCACTGCCACCACCACTGCAGCCACAGCCACCACGGCAGCCACCACCCCCGGCACCTGCTCCACGGCCACCGGCCCAGATGAAAATCCAAGCGCCGGCGCTGGTGGTGTCACACGCTGTGAGCCCAATCACACCGCCGAAAACAACTGTGCCCGGCCCCGGCACCCCGCCGAAGCAGGTCAGCAGCCCGACAAGCCCGGCCACCCCCTTGTCGGCTGACCAGCCAACCAAGGCCGTCCCCAGTTCTGCCAGGCCACCCCCTGAGAAGCGGAGGAAATTCGATGCCTTCACAACCCCGCGTTCCTCGAAGGCTGGGCTTGGGAGTCGTGTGAATGTAGAAGAGGTGTGCTTGGATTGTACACAAAGCGTTGCCCTTTTGCATGTACAATGTATACCACACTTCTTTGCTTGTACATCTATCTGTGCTTCACATTGTGAGTGTACGATATGTACGCACGTTTCCGCCGGCTGGTACACACTTTTGTGAGGCGCTCAGGACCCTCATGAACGTTGAGAACCCTGAGGAAGATGAGAATGCTGAGGATTCAGAGGCATAGCGTGACATGTACACAGCTGTGTACAATACAAGTGTACAATGTACAATTGCACGAGTGTACAACTGAAGACTCTTTGCAGTTGTATTTTCATTAGACTTGACTCCGTGCGGGCTTCTTCACTGGCCAGGCGTACCCGTCAAGCGCGCCCACGCAGCCCGTCCAGGCGTCAGCCTGGGCTATCTGCGGCGCATGTCATGTGTGCGTTGCCGGACAGGTTGTGATCCGTGGGTCAGCCAACCCGGCGACAAGGTTGGCTAAGCCGCTGCAATTTCAATGTTGTTCACCCTACTTGGATGCTTGTCAGGCCCTAGCTGCGATGCCATCGCCGGACGAGGCCTTTGCGCGGCATGTACACAGTGAGCGTTTGGTACACTACATGTCTTGTGCTTGTGCCAGGAGAGCGACGGCGAAGACTCCTTGCCCACGGAATCCGAGGACTTTTGTGCTTGCCCACGCTTGTATGCATTGCGTTGCACTGATTCGCGCAGGAGCTGAGTCCGACATCGCCGCTGAGGAGCCGGACGTAGCGTGGGATTACTTCTAGGCGGCTCAGGGGTGAAAAGGCGTAATCACAAAGGCTGCTCCCTTAAAAATTACAAGGTCATTTGCTTTGTACACCCTGACACGCGCTTGTGCACTCTTGCATTTTTTACGGTTCGCCGTCGTCTGCGCTTGTGTGCAAGTCAAGGGAGCCAATTGCAATGACTAACGTGTGAGTGACTCAGAGACCACCATGTAGTCATGTATATAGCGGCCTTGACTTGTATACCGTGCCCTGGCCTGAAAACTCTGCATTTAACGTATAAGAGCGCGGCCACCCAGCCAAGAGAGAATGTGAGCAACTCCTAGAGGAATGAAAAGAGAAACAATGCTTTCTATAAAGGCTGGTGTGGGACTGCTGCCACCGCTTCGGGCAGCGTGCTTGCTGTCGCCGCTCAGGGTGACCCAATTTGCAGTCTCGATCTGCTTGGAAAAAAAGGCGCGGATTGGGCAATTTGCGAGTTTGTCAGAGCCTCCGTGACTGAAAACAATGAAGTCCCAGCCAAACTGCATCCAAACTGCATCCAAACTGCATCCAAACTGCATCCAAACTGCATCCAAACTACATCACCATGATGCACTTTGTACCGAAACTGCATTGGCGACACATGAAACTGCAACACGCCAATGCTCACCGGAATGCAGTTTCAATGCAGTTTGCATCAACCCTGCATCACATTGATGAAGTTTGGATCAAAACTGCATCATCTTAATGCAGTTTGGATGTAGTTTGGATGCAGTTTCAAACAAAAGTGCATCATCATAATGCAGTTTGGATGTAGTTTGGATGTAGTTTGGATGCAGTTTGAGTGCAGTTTGAGCACTCAGGGCTCTAAAATTGTGAAACCAATCACTGCGGGCAGCCATTTTCTTGAAGGAGGAGCCTCTTTTTTTGCAGGAACAGCTCTTTTTTTGTAAGGGACAGCACAGTTGTGTGACCAGAACTGCTCAATTTCTTGAAGAATCTAAAGATTTCAAGGTTTGAGCAATGCCGAAGGTGTACTTTGGAACAGCCGCTGCAAACAACTCTTGGTGGCAACAACTCTTGGTGGTCGCAAGTGTACATGCCCCTACCCAGTGCAAACTTGTATTGTACTTGCCTGGCCACGCTTGGAGTACATGACTTGTGTTGTACTTGCCTGGCCACGCTTGGAGCGCATGACTTGTGTTGTACTTGCCTGGCCATGCTTGGAGTATACATGACCGCGTGGGACACAAGTGGTGGAAAGGCCGAGCAAGCTCAAAGTCCAAGCCCAAGCTTTTTCAAATTAATATTTCTGCATTGGCTTCTGAGCTCGCTCAGCCTCTCCTGGTTGTACTTGCTTCTCCTGGTTGTACGTTGCACTCTCGCAAATGTTGCCCGTCGCCTTTTGAGCCTTAGACTTACGGTAGGTACAGCGCCTGTGCACAGTGAACTATATAGGTCGTTTGGATGGCAACGCCTGTGGAAGACGACACACTGACAGAGATGCTTGAGGGTGAGATTACTGCGAGTCAGCCTGATCCACCAGAGCAACCGGCCGCGAAGAAGAGTCCGGTGTTGAAGCGACCTGCAGCTGCAGTGAAGTCGAAAGCTCGCAAGCAGGGCAATGCCAGCGTGGAGCTCACTAAGAAGCCAGCGGCGAAGGCCAAGCCCAAGGCCAAGGGAAAGTCCACAGAGAAGAAAAAGAAGGCTGATCCAGCGCAGCCGAAGCCCAAGCCAAAAAGGAAGAAGGAACTCCTCCAGGACTTGTTTGACTTGGGCGACCAGGTGGTGCGAGCTCGCGAAGAAGATGCAGGCGACGCAGAGGCTGAGGATGGCTTGGAGTCTGGCCGTGACCGGTCGAAGGCGCAGAAGTTCAAGAAGATGCTGGCCGAGGAGAGCTTGCCTGCTGCGGTGCTGGCGGAGTATCAGTCCTGTGGCTCCCGTGATGACAAGACCAAGCTGATCAACACTCTCTTTGTGAAAGAAGGTGGGGCGCTGAAGCTTCGGCCGGAGAAGTTGACCTTCAGCACGCAAAAGCGGCTGGAGACCACAGACTCGAAGGCGGAGAAGGAGAAGGGCATCGGCAAGAACTTGTTCATGTCCAAGTGGCAGATCAAGGATGGTGAAGCTTCAGGAGAGGGCGGCAAAGCGGCTCAGATTGAGCGTGAAAGAAAGATTTCTAAGCAGAGCAACGAGCAGATTGAGGGGCAGGCCGTCGAGTTCGATGAGGACCAGTCCAAGAGGTGAAGAAGCTCTGGTCGAAAATGACGCCGGAGTTTGCGGAGGGTAGACGCCAGCCGGATCCCGGAGTTGGTTCGGGTCCCGCCGTCAGTGCTCTCTGGCCAAAATAGTGCTCTCTGGACAAACTTCATCCCCATTTGGCCTGGTGCTGGCGAGGTGGGGACCTCACGGGCCGCATTTCCACCTTGATTAGCAGCTGTGTGAGCGGCCGGACGGACGTATCTGCCA